AGCAGTTGTCCATAGTTACTAATCGGGTTCAATCTTCAGTTTGTTCAGTTAATCTTTCAAAAAAGGAGAAGCTGATTGGCTGTCACAGGCACCTGCTCCAGATACTGTCTGCTCCAGTTTTGATAATTTGCCCTCTATATGTTAGCTGGAGAGGGTGTTTTCCTGGGAAAGAAACACCAACAAAGCTTTTGTGCTCACTTTGTCTTCTTGGACCTACTATAGGAGCACCAATGTTATGAAGTCATCTTCTGATATCTCTCTGTTCTTTGGAGCTGTATCATATTCTCTTGACTGGTGCGATCCCCCGGTTCTTCTTGTCCTTCCCTCCTATAACCCCTTTTTTCTCTCTCTGTCCTCTCTATTTTTTTCGTCTTTCCTTAAATGTGACTTGCTATCTGTTCAGCCTTAGGCCTCTTTCACACTGCTAAGAGCCGGCCCGTACAGATCCTTGCGGTGTGCACGGGAAGGACAGGTGATGCGTGTGATTGTACGCAGCAGCCTGTTCTTCTCTATAGCAGTACGCCGTCGTACGCTCACCCAAACTGCACATCCGTGCGGGTGTCTGTGCTCGGACGCAGAGAGGATCCATCCTGTCTACGTACAAGTACGGACACCCACACCCGCATGGATGTGCAGTTCGGGTGAGTGTAGGGCCGTGTAGGGCCTTCTGCTATAGAGAAGAACAGGCTGCTGCGTACAATCACACGCATCACCTGTCCTTCCCGGGAGCAGCCCGATACGGCCGTGCACGCCGCACGGATCTGTACGGGCGAGCTCATAGCAGTGTGAATGAGGCCTTACTGCTCTTTCTTTCTCATTACCTTTTACTTCTTTATGGCCGGGAGGTGTCTGCTTGACAAGACTTTTATAATTGATCTTGGATCAAAGCTCTTATTTGATGGCCGAATGTGACATTTTTCTCATTATGCATGTATATGTTAAAATGGAATGCTTGCATCTAAATGTTTCTCCAAATTTATCATGATCTGAGAATGTATTTCTCATACATAATGTTTTTGAATGGGTAATATATCATATGCGTAGGTGACGCCTGTATGTTGTATAATCCCTATTGTCACGTTCTATTGTCTAAAATAAATAAAAAGAGTTTAAACATAAAAAATCAGCCTTTTTATGACTTAACTAGAAATTATTTTCCTGAGTCAGTATTTGCCTGTATAGATGACACTCAGGGCACAAGAGCCGTAAGAAAGCTCATTGCCAGCTGAAGATCGGTTGTGAGAAGCTTCTCAGCACTTGAAAAATTCCTTCCAATATCAATTGTACCCATTCCACCTGGTCATACATCACCATAATCAATGCTTAAAGTGGAGACCAATGGGCTCAGATATGGACAGCTTGGGATGTGTAGCAGTATTTCCCAGTTACTCAGGTACTCTGCCTTCTGGCATTCTGTACATCAATTCAGAGCGCACACAAAAGTAGTATTTTTAGTCGTGGTCGATTACGGGCGTCAAGAGCTTATCGTATGTATAATTCATTTCCTTCAATACAGCTGATGCTTGAAATATTTCCACAGAATTGCCCTAGATTCTTTGTTTGCCTTTACAACAAGCATGATTCTGACATCCTAAATTAAGGTCTAGACATATGATATCTCTGATTAATTAGAGAGCCAGAAAACTAACTGCATTCTGCTATTTTAATTATGAGAAGTCATAAAGACAAGTTCAGGGAATTCCTCAGCAATTAATTAATGCTTTCGCTAGGGGAGAATACCAAACGCTATTTGGCTACTCACATCAGCTATTCCCAGAAATAGTCTTTCTACTTGACTGGCAAATGATGCCAGGGGGCTTCTTGAGAAATGCCCCCCTTGTATCTTGCAGTGCAAATGACCAGCCCAATCCTTGCTTGATGTTTAGTCCTGTCTGCACCTCAGGACAAGGCTGGAAATAGAGTGTGTTCTACGGCTCTTCTTTGAAGGCATAAAGGGAGGAGAGAAATGTAAAAAGTACATCAAATAATTTTTGTTGGATACACATTTTCTGACATCTCACACGATGCCTTTAAAATATGGTGAATGAAAGAAATATTATACTATACTATCATATATCACAAATTAGGCCTGAAAGTTGCACAAACAAATCCATCTAAACCCAATGACTAAAATCGCATATGTTAGTGTAATTTCAAATGTTTTTAATCTTTTAAAATGTAAAACATTAGTTCTAATAATCCTTGGCCATTCTATATCTGTAAAAAATAAATCATGGCGACTGAAGTAGCTGTATTTTTCTTGAAGACGTTTTGATGATTCTCTGACTAGCTTTCTTAATTCAGAATTGAGAAAGCTAGTCGGATGATCAGGAAAATGTTTTCAAGAAAAATACAGTAAGTCCAGTTGCCTTGATTTATGTCTACAATATAGACACTAATTATTTTATAGTCCAACATAAGAACCGGAAGGGCTATTCAGACTCTTTGAGATAACACAGGAAGTGTGCACAGGACACACACTCTTTTGCATAGAGTGGAGAGGGATTAAAACACCTGTCAGGTTTTTGTTGCTGTCTGTGTCCCCATTATGGTGATTTCCCCTCTGTATTTGCACTGGTGACCATTATCACTGAAAGTAAAAGAAAATCCAGAATTTTGGGTTGTTTTTAGAACAGGAATAAATGGGAAATCGTCCAATGGGGACCCTGCTGACCACCAGGGTTGTCCCTCGCTTTGGAGGAATTTCCTCTCATTTCCTGTTGTGGCTATTGAACAGGAAGTGAAGGAAAATCTTCTCAGTGGGACACAGATGGAAAAAAAAGCTGACAGGGGTTATAACCCTTCTTTATTAAAGGGATAAAGTGAGTTTAACATTAGCAGTACTTTCTTTGTCTCAGGTTAGAGTTCTTGTTTAAGCTGTAACAACCTTTAGAGTTTTGAGTTACTGAAAAACACGTGATTTCACATGAAATTAATGTGCATCGCTATCTAGCTAAAGTTTTGATTTCGTATGCAGCAGTTGCTATGCTCTTCTTATTTGTGATTGGTTAAAGCTGAATCACCGCTCATCCTCCCTCCGTATAACCGTTATCCTTTACTGAATAAATCTTTGATATTGAGCGGATAACACACACCTTTGTGTCTTAGGTGATTCTCCTATCCCGAGCTCGAGAGTGTACCGATTCAGTAGAAGAGAAGTAAAAAGTCTGCGGCAGATTTGACCCCGGGGCATCACAAAGTAACCCATCATTTATCCAAAAATAAAAAAAACCCTTTTGGCTTCAGTTCTACTTTAACAGACCAAAATGTAGCAAATAACAGCATTTGATTGTCAGGGATTACATACTTTAGAACATGTTAGTTTATTTGTGGATTCATATTTTCGTGGCGCAATAAGCTGAAAATAACAGTCACGTGGAGGTCAAAAATGGTCGCCGTGACAAATGGCACATGTATTGGTGAATTAAGTCTAATATGTGCCATTAACCGAACACCTTTCACTTCTTCGTGTCTTCGGCTTTTTTCACAGCTATGTTCATGTAAGAAGTGTGATGATGTTCTTGATGCCTGAAAACAGGATTTGTAGTTTGTGCGAAATATCCAGAAATAATTCCTCGCTGTTCCCAGCGCTGATTACTCGTCCTCCTAATTCTCACAGTCAGTGTTTTCCTGTTCAGCTGTGAGATTCCCCCAGCGCCTAGCTCCCACTTTCACCTTGATATGACTGCACACATAGACCTCAATCAGTCAGTTTCTATCTATGAATAATAATCATGTCATCGCTGCAGCAGCCATTCATCGGCTGGAAATAGAAGTGCACTGCTAGATTGGTAATCAGCAGACTTCTGTTTTCTGTAGGTCCTGATTGCTTGCTGAATGTTTTAAAGGGTCAGTCTGCCCACTAGTGATATTGGGACTGAGTAGACCCCTTGCGTCCTTTCGGACACCCCAACAGTGAGATCTACCTGCCATCATTCCTTGACTCCGATCATGTACACTTCATCTTTTGTATCCTTCATAATATAAAACAAGTAGATAAATCCTATAGGGAGAGTGTCACTCCCTTCTAGAGGTCATAGCAGGTATGCAAAATCGGGAAATAAAGCACAGAGATCTCACCTTAAAGGGTACCTATGGTCAAAATTTTTATATCAACATGTATTTCTGTATTGAATTGCCATAAGTTCTATCCCAGTCCTAATAACCATATCGATCTAGATGTCCGTACACTTACTTATCGAAGATGGCCATAGAATTTACATCCTCAATGCAGTGACACAATTTCACTCAGCTCTGTGAATATGCCCTTCCTGGTGTCAAACCTTTTGTCGCTCAATGGTAAGTGCAACAAAACGCTCAAGACAAGGAATCCCATTCATTTCTATGGCCCCTTTTCACAACTGTTGCTGGAAAAAATACTTAAAGTCATATTAAAGCTTTGTTTGTTTGTTTTTTTTATAAATAGGAAGCCCATACTCGTAAAAATCTTTTGCTGTTTTTCATTAAAATGTTCAGTTCCTTGTTCTCTAGTGGGTCCCTGCATAGCTCTTCCTCCCGCCCCTGCACGTGTGCTGCCATCAGCTGGGCGGCTGCTATAAAGGCACCCATGCGTGTGTGTTCCCAGCCATGCCAGCAAGTGGCTGTGTGCATCAATAGACACACACAGCCCTGTGGCAGGCCATGCCCCTCCTCTGCCCAATAGTCACCCTTCCTTCTGTAGGGTGGCTACTTTTGTTCCCCATGGTCCCTGCATGTGTTGTAAAGTAGACACCTCTCCAAGCTCACTCCCGTGATGGACTACAATCTCAATCCAAATTAGTAGACTAAACATGAGACTGTAGTCCATCATGGGAGTGAGTTTGGAGCAATGGCTACTTTACACACAGGGATCATGCAAAAATAAAGTCTAGTTTTGTTTAGAGTTAAGATACTTGAATGTATTTTTAAGATTAAACTCCTGAGTTTGGTGTCACTTAAAATGTCCATTTATGGGTTTGTAATATTTGACATTTTATTATTCTGTGTTTTTGTCTCTGCAGCCTTGCATTACATCCAGACAGAACTCTTGTCGCAACAGGACAGGTTGGGAAGGATCCGTACATCTGTATATGGGATTCCTACACAGTACAAACTATCTCTATCCTGAAAGATGTGCACACGCACGGAGTGGCTGGCCTGGCATTTGATTCAGATGGACAGGTTTGTCTTTTCTATATTTGTACCCCCAGTTTCTGAATGCAGGAGCTTGTGGAAAAACCCGGCATCATAGCTGTGTGCCTCCATCCCTGTTCCCTGTGCACTATTTGCCACTTAAAGAGAACCTGTCATCAACTTAAGAAAGTGCAGGAAAGGGATCGGCCATTGGTGATGAGGCCATTGGTGTGTGCTGTGAAAGAAGCCGTGCAAAGTGCTAATTTCATTGCATCGCAGTTTACCTTTTGCTTTTTTTTTGCTCAAACCTTTCTGAAATATTGCAAAGTGACATTTTATTAAGTTCTATTCACCTCAGTGCGTTGCAATACCGCATGCAGTATTTTTTTTCAGCACACACACCACCGCCACATAATGGTGTGAACTGACTTGATAGAAAATAACAGATTGCCTTGTCTATGCTTTAGAACTGTTTTGGCTAAGTTTCCCCAGGGCAGTCCAACACAACTGGTGTGAAGGGCCCTTAAAACACAAAACAATCAAGTATTTTAAATGCTTTCTTGCAATGTTTTTTCTTTCCATCAATAATTTTTTACTCCCTTGCAATGCGCCTTTGAACTTGCTAGAAAATCAATATTTCAGGAAGAGTCAATCCCCTAATAGCCCCCTCCCTCCTTGCACATATAGCCCTCTCCGAGGGTGTGTCTAATTACTCTCTGTGCTGGTCTAGCTCCTCCATCCCTCCCTCACCTCTTTTCATAATGTTTTGTGTAGATGCCGGAGGAGGAACAAAGGGGAATACTATGGCAGTGTCTCCTGAGTGACAGAGTCTGCTGGGGCAGCTGACATCACATCCAACACCCAGAATCAGTCTTAGGGCTTTTGGATATCTACTACAGATAAATAACATGCATAAAATACAATAAATGCACATATATTCTTATGGGAGGATTGGTGTTGAAATGAATGGTCTGGTGACAGGGTCTATTTAAATGAATGCTGCAATACCGCAACTGGCCATCAGGCGGCATGAATTATTCAACTTGCCAGCACTGATTTTGTGTATAAGGCTTCCATTTGTCGACTTGTATTAAAAAGTACTTCATCTGGCATCCAGATCATTTTATTTTTGATGCAGTTTATCTCCCAAGTCCCATACATCTTTATTAAAAAAACAGACCCAAAGGACAAGCTACAGTCAATTGTGTATATGTCAATTATTATTATTATTTTCATTATATAGTATTTATATAGCGCCAACAGTTTGCGCAGGAAGACATTACAGTTACAATACAAGTCAAGACAAGATGGTTAGGAGGGCCTATTACATTTGTCTCTCCATGCTTAGGGCCCAGTATAGTTGTTGTCTCTGGATGGACAGTCAACAACTACTTTATATTTGTAATCAGCATTGGAGTTAACCCTAAAAGGCCCAAAGACAGGCATTTGTGGTTTTGTTTGGTTATATTTTGAGGGGAAATTAAGCATTTTTTAGTTTAATAGTACCAGGAGTAGATCTGAGAATATTGAACTTTCAAAAGTATATTGAGCTTAGATGTTATTTCATTACATTGTTGGTGTTTTGTGCATACTAATGCTGGATATACAGTCGTTTGATATAATGATCATTTCCATTAAAATATTATATCCTTCAGAACTCCGGGGCACTAAGCAATCCTCTCAGTCGATTAATAATCATTATTATTGATAAGGGGGGTCCATCCTGGCAGAAAATCCAATCAAATCTGACTAACAAGATCTTTTGCTTGTTCTTATAAACAATGGATTTTGAGGGCCTATTCACACCTGTGCTTTGTGACAAACAATGCATGCTAAAAACGCCCACCTGCCCGTATGTGGCTGCCGTCCGGCCGTTTATGTACAATGGCCGGATGGCAACCAGTTAATGTGCATTGCTGCAGTCCATTGCAACACACCCGCTCTATATGTGGGGTGTTGCAATGCCATTCATTGTGAAGCACATTGTACAGTAGAGTCCAACCCACACCTCAATGCACCACAACACGTATAGCGTGCATTGTGGTTTCGCTGTTTTGTTAAAAAGGGTCATGCATGCTTTTTTTCATCCATTGTGGTGCCATGGCAGCCCATTCATAATGATTGAGCTGCCTTAATGCAATGCGTGTTAAAGCGTGTACGTTAATGCAACACAATAGATTGCCTAAAGTGGATGTAAATTGTTTTCAAAGCAGAACTCTGGGCAGAATTGTCCTTCCACTTTCCCAGGTGCAATTGGGAAAATAGAATTACCCGCTCCAATCTGACCCCCTTTACCCCCCTTGCTATACTTACCTTTGGGCGAACGCTCCTTCCCCTACACTGGTGCAGGTGTACTATCCGTAACCCTTACTGTAGCACAGCCCTGTACTCTGAATTTTGAATTTCACTCCCAAATGGCGAGCACTCATTGGTGGACTAGTGAGAAGTGCTTCTGACCACGCTGACCAATGAGAAGCACTTCTGGTTAAAAAGCAATTCATCACGTTCTATACTCAGTGTATAGAGGTAAGGATGTTGAGGAACATCCCAAAGCTGTAGTGTAGGAGGAGACACGCTTCAGTTACTGGAGAAGCAGGCAGCCGGCTCAGTGGTTTGGTTGAGTTTTTGTTTTTTTATTAGAACCTAGACAAACACCCCTCTGTAAGGATTAAGATAAATTCTGCCCGGAGTTCTTCTTTTAAAAAACATTTACCTCCAAAACCGATCCTATCCAGCGTTGCACTTCTCCCTCGCCAGCACTTCCATCTTCATCCCGATCTTCTTGATGGTTTCGAGTCTTCAGCGGCTTGATTGGCTTGGCCCTGATGACATAACTCCCACACATGTGCATGGGAGTTCATCTTGGTATGCCAGATCTGAGCACTGAGCACAATTTTTTTTTTTTACCTTACTTTTAGTGTGAATGGATCCTCAAGATCATTTGAATCTATGATCAATTGATTACCGTTATGTGTATGATCAGCATAAGCATCCACTCAAATGATTGTATACATTGATGTGTTCCCAGGGGAAGCTAACTGGACTTTCTTTTTCTTTCGGTTGGTATAGCGCCTCGCCTCTGTTGGACTGGATGCCAAAAATACTGTTTGCATTTGGGATTGGCAGAAAGGCAAGATTCTAGCTACAGCAACGGGCCATTCAGACAGGGTACTAAGAGCTGCCTACACCCTATGTTGTAATTGTATGTTGTGTGTGTGATGTTATGTTTGTGTGTTACTGTGGTGACATCCTGAGAATAAGTGTTCAGTTAAGAGGCGGCAAGGTAAAAAGAGCTAGAGGACAGACACTTATCCCACATTTTTACTGTGAATATACAGTGGTACGTCGGCTCACAAACGCTTTTGTTCACGAACAGGAAGTTCGGCAAAATTTTACTTCCAACTCCAAATCTGGTGACGAACACGACCGTGGCCATCTTCCACGCTCTGACACGTGGTCATGGTTTCCTCTAGTCGAGATTGCAGTCACAGACAGACCTGTGCACACTTGCTGTGAAGCTATTTTGTGTGCTTTTTAGCACATACAGTACTGTACAGTATTATTCAATCCAACATGGCTCCAAAGAAAGTGCAGAGCAAGAATGGTGGTAAAAAGAAAGCGCAGAGCAGTAATGAATTTACATATGTTTCGGAACGGATTAACGTTATTTACATTGAACCTTATGGGGAAATTTGATTTGGTTTGCGACCAATTCGGTTTGCGACCAGAATCGTGGAATGAATTAAGTTTGTGAACCCTGGTACCACTGTATATACATTCACATGGTTCTTTTAACTTTTTCTTATAGAGTCTTTCATTTGAAGATGTACTTGATGCCAAAAATTATGATAAATG